AAATGAGTTGGGTTACAGATAAAACAGTGTTATTTTTACACTGTAAAGTACAGTTTGGCCACTATGTGGCAGTATAGACATTTCACAACCTATGCATAAGTGCAGAAAACCCAGTGTGAGATTGAACAGAATGTTTAAACCACCTGCATTTCTTCACCAGAATCAAACTTAAGCCTGTCTGTATTTCCTCATACATTATCTTTCATCAGAGCAGGACATTTTCTACGCATGCTTGTCTCATCTGATGCTGCTCTCCAGCAGTTCGGCTTGCAGCCAGAGGGGAAGGGGTTCATGTTGGCTTTGACTGGTCTATAATCCATCAGTGTGCTCCTGGGAGTGTTCCTAGCAACCCGGGAGCCACTACAGAGCAGATGTATAGAGCTGGCTGACTGCTGCCTATTGAGGGAGGTGATGCTGAACAGGACTCTGTTCTGTTTCCTGGCTTAGGGAATAAGCCTCATGCTGTTAGTTTGGTTGCATGACTTTGCGGATGATTTAGTCCAATGACATGGGACACAATGGAGGACTGTGTCAATATTGAGGGATGGAATTAGCTATTCGTGCAGGAGACTATAGGTTGGAAAAGGAATAGACTGCACTCCTAGAACTCTAAACCCTTCTAGAGTTGGTTGATGCTTAAAGGAAACAAACATTTGTCTCAAAGTAGAGTAATTAATCTGGTGCAGCTGCTTCAAATAATTGGCAATGACAATGACAGGAGTGAAATGTACTCACTTCACATGCTGAAAGAGTTTGTGAATAATTATAGGATCACAGTATGAGTGAATGTCACAATATCTGTCAAAACAACATGTTTCACCCCAAAAAAGAAAGAAAATAAAAAGGTAAATTATATTTTGCATAAACAGAAAATACATTTTTAGGACCATAATAATGCTATTATTATTACATTGTGACATTTAAGCACATTAAGCAACAAAATTCTTGTTGACTGTCCAATCAATCAGTCTGTCAGTCAGTCAATCAATCTAATTCTCATTATTGTAATGTGAAAATAATTATATATTATTTAAACAATATATACATTATTTCAATTTAATTTTGAAAAGTACAATTCTAAGTGAACAGGTATAATCATGGTATTTGTTGTATTTAATTTATGCTCATTAAAAAAAAGTTTTGGACAGGAGGATTTTTATACACTATATCCGATTTATGAGAAATACAAATAATTTCTTATTTACATTTTGAGTCTTATTCTTTTTTTTTGGTGGGGTAAATATGACATATTTCTTGGTGTGATTCAACCTTAGCACTACTAGCACATTGAAACATTGATGTGTTTTCTAATTTCTCCTGTACAGATTCTGAATTTGTGTATCCTGACTGTCTTAAACTTGTTTCTTCTGTCCAGTACCTCAGCCCTCTGGGCAGCTGACCTCTCTACCAGCTGTCAAAGTCTCTCCCTTTCTTCCACAAGAAATCTGACATGTTTGCTCGTTTTACTGTCAACTCAGCAACACTGTCAGCCTGGAACAACAACAGGTCTGTTGATCTGTTTGTTTGAAAAGTGAAGTCGTATCAGTGTTTTTCTCTCTCCATAGTGTTTCTGCAATCACTGCTATTTTTTATTGCAAGTTTATTGCTGGAGTTTTCAAACCAAGGATCAATGACAGTACATACTAGTGCAATAACTACAATAACACTTTATTAATGTCCGAGGGACACATTTTAAACTCTTGTCTTAGAGAAAAGTTATGGAATTTGACATTGTGGGAAGTTATACTTTAGCTTGTTTTTGTACATCGAAACAATCTGTCAAGCTATTTGAAAAGCTCTATTCTGGACTTTGGAAGAGAAACAGCCAATTTCTTGAAAGGATTGGGACAGCTGGAGACATAGCAATGGAATCAACTTTGCATTTTCATTTGTCCAATTAGAGTTCAAAACAGAGATGGATAATTGTGTATCAGTGAATAAATGAGGTAAAGTAGCCCTTTGAAAGAATGCCTCTGATCTGGCTGATGTGACCAGAATTGATGAGAGGCACCAAAAAAGGGTCCATTCATACATATAGTAGGCCTCTTCAGAAAGCAGGCAGGTGGCACTTTTACTTGTTGTCTTTGTCCATTTTGGAATGTAATTCTGCCAGTTCAGTCCCTTTTTTTTAACTTTGTAAATACTTCAACTCAACCTAGACTGCAATAGTCCAGCTAGGGTTGTTATTGAACAGAATTCCCATAAATACAACCCCTGGTATGACTATTAATCTATATGTCTGCATGCACATCTGTCTTTGAGCAGACAGTTATCGGCTTAAATATAGACGTCTGTACATCTATTTGGGTGGCCGGTTTTCTGTTAGCACTGAGCTTAACTTCAAACCATTTATTTACACTCTTAATGGTTATGGATGTATATATATAAATAAACCAAAATTTTGAAAAAATAAAATCGAATACCAAAGAAATGGTACCTTTAGAAGTGGCCTATATGTGCATGCAGTCCTTGCTCTAAACAAAAGTAAGCCAAAGGGTCATTTCAAAGAAGCCCTTTCTGCTAAAACCTTAGCAGCTATTAGTAAAGTATTATATTTCAGGGCCTCAACCTGTTTTTCATTACATCAGCATCAGCCATAACAACATCTGGTACAGGGTTGGTGTCAGTAATGAAGGCAATGATAATCCTCATTAAAAGCACTCTAGTTTGGCATTGACAATTAAAAACAGAAGCTTTTCAGATAGCTTACTTTTTTCATATGATTTGATATACTTAAAATTGGGGAAGTTGTTTTATTTGTGTTGCCGTTTAGTATTTCTTGTACAAATGTAATTATATTACTTCTCAGGATAAGCTGTGTCAAAATCCAAGAATTAGATAACAGATTATAGCATGTAAGACTTGAACCACTGACAATATCCTAATAATATGAATGACTATATTGCTAAACGGATGTGTTGCATGAATTTGTAGGCTATATAAACTATGTAAAGTGCAGATTTTGTTGGAATGGAGTATTGAAGGGGTCATATGATGCTGCTAAAAAGAACATTATTTTGTGTATTTGGTGTAATGAAATGTGTTTATGCGGTTTAAGGTTCAAAAAACACATTATTTTCCTCATACTGTACATTATTGTTTCTCCTCTATGCTCCGCCTTTCTGAAACGCGTCGATTTTTACAAAGCCTTTATAAAAAATATCTCTTTGGATTTGAGACTTTAGTCTTTGCAACTTTACAGATCTTCTTTATGCACCAAGAGCTTGTAACACTCCAAAGAGAAAGGAAAAATTTAAATCACATCATATGACCCCTTTAAGAAAGTTATATTGTCACCTCTTAGTGCCATTATGTTCTTTTCAAGACAGGGCAGCTGACAATTATCGTAGTTCTGTGCAATTACTGGTATTTATACTGGTGTGCTTGCCTTTGTCACTGAGTATTAATAAAAACCTATTTATGAATCCATATGCATTTAAATGACATCTTTTTGGTATTTATGGTGTACCAATGGTTGATTTCACTCTCAGATGTGGGCTGTTTCAAAACCAAGCAGATGAGCTGAGGTGTCAGCACTGTATGTATTGACTATAGCTCAGACATTGCTTAATAGACAGAACAATAGCTAAGCAAACAACAGAGTGACTGAACAAAGCCCTGTATCAGGCCTGGCGCCGGCTGTGCTTTAAGACAAAATCACAAAATCACATCAAGTCTGTGAATAAATGTGGGTATAAAAAAGACTTTCTCTTTGCAGAGCCATTGATTTAATGCTTTTTCTCTAAATGCATTACAATAATCTTAATATAATACAATAAAGAGCTTAATGTTTTTTTTTTTTCCCCAGGGATTTCAATCAGGGGTCTGTGAAGATACTTCAGGGGGTCCATATGACATGTAAGATTAAGGAATAGTTCACCAAAAAAAATGAAAATTTGCTGAAAATTTAGTTTGTTTCTTCATAGGAAAAGATTTGGAGATATTTAACTTTATATAACCAACAGATCCTTTGCAGTGAATGGGTGCCGTCAGAATGAGAGTTCAAACATCTGATAAAAACATCACAATAATCCACAAGAAATCTCATCAGTTAACATCTTGTGAAGCGAAAAAAGATTGTTACAAAAAGATTTGTAACAAACAAAACCATTAAAATATTTTTAACTTCAAAACGTTCTGGCTAAAATGAGTCCTCTATCAATAAAATTGCTTTCTTCAGTGAAAAAGTCATCTCATCTGAATCAGGAGAGAAATATGCACAGATCAAGCACTGTTTACAAGCAAAAACAATTCGAAACCGTTCTAAACAAATATTTTTGTATATTTTGATATGAGAGGACAACAGGGGATGGACATTTTCACGCATTATTATGGATTATGGACTGGTATTTTGGCCAGGTTTAAAGTTACAACTCCTTAATGATGGATTTATTTCTTGCAAATACAGCTTTGCGCTTTACAAGGAGTTAATTCATTAACTGTAGTCGTGTAGATTACTTGAGGATTACTGTGATGTTTTTAGCAGCTGTTTGGACTCTCAATCTGACGGCACCCATTCACTGTGGGGGATTCATTTGTGAGCAAGTGATGTAATGCTACATTTCTCCAGATCTGTTCAGATGAAGAAACAAACTCATCTAGCAACATGTTGAATATCCTGAGGGTGAGTACATGTTCAGCAAATTTTCATATTCAAGTGAACTATTCCTTTAAGACAGTGATCTTGTTTTGATTAAATAATGTAATAATAATATTGTTTTATAATCTTTGATTGGTGGTCCTTGTCTGGATGAGGGTCCTTGGGTATGTAAAGCTGAACACTGCATTTCTTGACAGTAATAAATGATCTATTATTGAAAGAAAATGCTTAAAATATGCAATGTTTACAGTGCAAATGAACGTGCATAGATCGTTTCATTGATTTTAATGTGAGTCTTCCAGTTTGGCGCGTCGCGCTGCTCGCGTAAACAAAGCCTTTGATTGGTCCATTGGGCGTTGACGTCAGAATTCCATCCACAACTCTGAAAGACGCTCGAGCGCTCGCAGCGTACACAAATTCGCTGCCTAGTGGGCGCGTTCTGGTTTGTCGCGTCGCGTCACTCGTTTATTGTATAATGTAAATGGAGGAGGAATTGGATCTGAAACTCTCACTTTTCTCCCCCCGACTCACCGACAAACAACGTGGGACGCTTGAATTTGTTATACCACACCACAGAGACTTTTGCACTGCTTTTTATACACCGCCGCGTCACAAGTAAATCTCGCGTTTCGCGGAGATGGAAAATATGTGTAAACTACTGACAGCGGTGAAAAACATTGCACTGTCATCCGCGGTTGAGTACTCACAAATGTCATGCACTGTTCAAGAGCCTTTGCCTTCTGTGACATTCAGCGGACTTAATAACAACCAATATGAAGTACAGTCAGAGCGCGTTGCCTATTCTAAAGGTCTTTTAAACTTGTTGAAATCATTGTAAACATGGAAGAGGCAGGTGCTGGGAACGGTACTGGGACGCAGGGCTCTGAACTGGAGCGTTCTGGAGACGGAGGACTGGATGAGGTGCAGATGCATCTCGCCTGCTTACCGGAGCGATACATGAGAGCCAAGTTTTCCCTCTCCGCGTACATATTTTGTTGGACAGTAGTAAAGTTGTGTCAGGTAAGGCATGTTGCATTTGAAAATACAATAAAGTGAAGTAATGAACAACATTTAAACGCTTCACAATAAAGTCAGGCCTTAAGTTATTCACCGTCTGACAGTAATGATGTTCTGCATGTTCTTATTTCTTAGGGATTATATATATATATATATATATATATACATACATAAAAAAAATGTTGGGCAGTTGACAAATAGAATATATATATATATATATATATATATTAACATTCAACATAAATGTACACTGCAAAAATAAATTTGTTACTCAGTATTTTTTGTCTTGTTTTCCAATACAAATATCTGAAGATTCTTAAATCAAGATACATTTACTTGAGAAGCAAAATAAAATAAGATGTTAAGTCTTGTTTTCTGGAAAAAATAAAATAAAATAAAATTAAGTGACAGTTTTTTCTGTTTGAATCAAGTTTATTTTTCTTATACTATTGGCAGGTTAATTAATTAATTAATTTTTGTATTACGTATTCTTTTAACTGCTGTATCTTCGCAGTTCACTTAAATGTGTAGAATGACAAATTCATTTTTAAAAGTAGAAATGTATGCCTCAAATAAAAACGTGGTCGTAAAAAGTGTAGATATAATTATTAAATAAGACATGGGTTTTCAGTCTTTACAGTTTTCTTAGCATTTTAGTTAAAACTATGTCAATATAACTACATTTAAATCAACTTTTGATTTACTGAGGCCCCCCTGGAAGTTTGCCGAGGCCCCCTAGTGTGCCCCAGACCCCTGGTTGAGAACCGCTGATCCTGAGTATGGTCTTGTTTATAACAGATGGTGAAGGTTTGCTTCACAGTAGATTCCCTCCCAGTCAAAAAGTTTAAATTGCTTTGAGTGGAGTCGGACCCTCCACCTGCTCTATCCCGGGGGGTCTGTTAAGCTCATCAGTATTTAACTACACAACCCTTCCCCTCAATCTCACCCCTTTTATACCCCAATCATATTATAGTATGATGCAGTTGAAAGGTGTGAAATCTTCATCACTGAAACGTCTATAATGACTGGCTGACTGCATCCATGCGCTATCCCTCTACCAGCCTTTGAACTGCTGCCATTTGAACCTTTCCATGAATGTAGCAGTGGTAAATCACAACAACTTCTCAAGGTTTATGACCTATAAGAGGTTTATCTGGGGTTTAGCATCTTTTATTCTAAGCAAGGCGTAGCTAGAACCTCTGCATGCCCAAACATCAGCAACAAAGTGGTTTCGGCTATTTAGGGAATAAAAGACTGTTGTTTGTATAATTAGTATTTTTAGGTAGGCACTATAATTTCAAAGACGGTCAGTGAATCTGTTCCTGTGAGGCTTCCTAATGTATTAATGGTTTAAAATGGATAAAATCTGACAACTTAATCTGGTTTAATAAAAGATGATATAAGTAGTGTACCTACCTTTTAGCAGTCTTGTAATGAAACAGAGCCGGCTGTCTCAGGTCGGAGGTCACACAGCACAACCTTGAACTGGTTTTAATTGTTTTGATTGGTTAAAGAATGAACACTGACATTGAAGCTCAGCAGGAGCTTTTTTACATGGTAGAGCACCATATGGATGGCTAGTAGATCAAACAAAGGCATGTATTTATTAAGACTTTTATGATTTAAAAAAAAAAATGCACCATGGGTTACATTTGCATATGCACCATGGGTTACATTTACACTCACCCTAATTAAACACTAATTAAACATATCTTATGCTTGTTCCAGTAATGCTGTACCAGTTCCCTGTGGTTTGCGGTAACGTCAAGAATTTGCCGTAAGGCTAATGCCAGCATTGCTTATGTTTTGTACAGAAATGTTGGTACTTTAATTTAACACACACATTGAATCGGTCTTGTATATGTTTCCTTTTTGTTTGTCTCCAGCGATTAAGACCGTCGCCAGTTCTTCCCCAGGTACGCTTAGTCTTTCTTTTGAGTTTGATGAACCTGATTGTACTCTTCAAATCTCGTACAGAAAAACACACATAATTCACACTGTAGCAAAACCATATGGACTAAATTGTTGCCATAATTCTCATTCAGTCCATTTAGATTGTTTAACCACAGATGCAGCGAGAGCTTATTATCTAATACTCGTAGATCTGTCATTTTCCATTTAATATAAGGATCCATTCATTTGAATTTAATCCCACCAAGCGTCTTTCAGCCAAAGGGTTTGATGTAATCATCATTGAGGAGCAAGCATGCACCATCAGGACATACTGTGCTTCTCACATGCTGCCAACAGCTTATCTGCCTTAACCCCTGTAGAGGCTGTGCCTTAACTTGTCGGATGTTGCTAAGGAGTTGTGCAATGCATTGAAGTCTAGTGTCTGCAGATGATTTCAGTAGGAATTATATATTAATAGGAGGTTCATAGAGTCATTCTGAATGCTTGTTTGCAGGTGCTTGAAAGTTTTTGCATTGACAAGATTTTGTAGGCACTAATGATGTAATTTGAGGTCAGGTTAAACCATCCTGCAGAAGTGTTATAATGATCACTTCTTTCCTGAAGTTATGTGCAGCAAAATAAGACAGAACTTGATGTGTAGTATCATAGCCTGTAAATTCCACCCATTCAAACAGCTTTGGGTGAATTCAAACTGGATTACAGGCATGTTGCATCATATTAATAGCATAAGGAAACCTTGTTTAGAGTCACGAAAATTATTAGGACCCGTAATCCTCTCCAGAGTTATTATTTAAATGCACTAAAACACAAAACTAACATAAAAAATATATATTTTTTAAATATTAGAAAATATTTGTAACAAAATAAATAAAGAAGACCTCAATGTTATTCAGAGGCCCAAATTGAGCAGAATATGCAATTTGGTGCAGTTGCTATATTTATATAGCAAAAAGTACGATGAAATTCTTAGACATCGCAACTGTATTTAGCAAACTACTTAGATAAAATACATATAAATATAATTTGTCACTCTTTATCTCCTAATTGTATGTTGTGATAAGATGATATTTAAATGCTTAATTTTATGATCAGCTTGGTAGTTTTTACTGTGAGGGGCAAAATATGTGATGCAATGAAGAGATGTAGAAATAAATGTTCCTCAAAAGCCTGTTGTATCATATTTGATACTCAAATTTAAACATGATTTCTAAAAAAAAAAAAGAGATGTATATAGATTTATAGATGTATATAGTTTCTTTACTAACAATGTAAAGGTTATTATTACGTTTACTTTATAAAAATCAGCAAAGACTTCACAGCAAAAAGACACGTGTACCACAACCTGAAGAGGGGCGTTTTAGAATGATAAAACGTGTGCATGTTGTAGATTGTGTACAACAGGTACAGCAAAGTTTGATCATGTTGATAATTTAAATGCATTATAAATTTGTATATCAAATATGATACAGTAGGCATATATATAGATTTTATTTTTGTGCCATTTAACCATCAAATCTTTCATTGTGAGCTCTGTTATAGTTTATGGTTCTCTTGAGTGCTATAGTCTAATTCATCTGAGTGATGGCATCTATTGTGCCACCCTCTTTTATAGGCCAGTGTTGTGCAGAGCTCTTGATATGGTTGACTGCTGCACATTTACTACATTCTCCATACTGAACTTTGTATATCCCTCAAAGAGATCTTGGCCTCGCTGTGCTTCTCTCACAGATCTGCTTATTCACACTGTGAGGCACAACCTTTCAGTCATTGTCTGGGTGATTTATGTAGCTTTCTGTTGTTGATAATTGAGCAAATAGTGCCTTTTGGAACATCTGGACTTGCTTTGGCTGTACCTCAGAATTTTCTTTGGAATGAGGTTTCATCTAAACACCAATAAAGCAGTGAAGATATGCGCTTCTACAAGATCACTGAAACACTACCGTTCACAGGTTTGGGATTGGTACGAATTTGTAATGTTTATGAAAGAAGTCTCTTATGCTCACCAAGGCTGCGTTTATTTGACAAAAAATGCAGTAAAACAGTAATATTGGTAAATATTATTACAGTTTAAAATAATTTAATAGATTTTAAAATGTAATTTATTCCTGTGATGGCAAAGCTGAATTTTCAGCATACATTACTCAGTCTTCAGTGTCGCATGATTCTTCAGAAATCATTATTAATAACTAATATGCTGTTTGGGTGCTCAAACATTTTAATTTCTTATTATTATCAATGATAAAAAAAAACGGTTGCTGTTTAATATCTTTGTTGAAACCATGCTACTTTTTTTTCCAGGATTCTTTGGTGAATATAAAGAACAGAACTTTTTTTGCATATTTACAAACAATATATATTTGCAGTGCATACAAATAAAACTATCAAAAGAAATACATTTTAAATTCAGTCAAATATAAGAATTAGATTCTAATTATAATATTATATATATATTTATATAATTATATATTTATGTATTTTTTAATTATAATTTAAATACAATAAAAAAAGCGTTTTATACTAAATAAAACGAATTATGCAACTTAGTGAAGGTACAAACAGTTGCCTTTAATGAAAGGGATTTTGCAGAAGATGAAATACTGGTAGAATTTCATGCTTTTCCAGCTCAGCTCTAATCTGCCTCTTCATGTCTCAGCTTGTACCTATTTTACAGTAATAAAGTCAGCTGTGTCACTTAAATCATCTTCTGGGCGTTTAGCCTTTGAGTATTACAGGTGTCTCCCACAATACAGGGCGAAATTTCATTTAAAATATATCTGAGTGTATAAGATGTTTATACTTTAACTTTGGGACTGAACTTGGTACAAATGCATGTTTGTGTATTTATATATCAGTCTAATGGTTCCATCTGCACAGTTTGCTCTCAGTTGAGACTTATGAAAATCAGGGTTATATATAATTTATGTATTACAAAGTATTTGCATTCTTTAAACGGTGCTCCATTATATTCAGTAAGCCTGGAGATATATTCTTGGATTTCTGGTCACATGCTCCTGTAAAGTATGCTTTGAAGGGTTGTGCCCTACAGGCAATGCAAACTAGAGGCATGAGTTATAATGCCACAAACATGCAAATAATGCTGCATCAGTCATAAACTCCTTCATTAGTTCTAATAATAACACATCATCTTCAGAAATCCAAGCATTGCCCTTCTTGTTTGTGGACCGGAGGAAGAACCTGTCACAATGTTCATGACCCAGTGCTGAACCTCAGGCTTGGATTTAGACTGCTGCATTGGCTGCGGCGAACTCTCATGTGGCGAGCGGATGATAGTAGCGGACTGCCAGGGTAAACTTCACCCTGGGTAAAGTTCTCTGGATACACGCTCCATAATTACTCTCCTTAGACGTCTTTAGACAATGGGTTAAACACTACTGTACTCACTAAAAATGTCTGGGAACCACTGAGATGTGAAAAGAGGAGCTAAAGAGAGTTGGCAGTACTTGTATTGTTTCTGTGCAAAAAGAGTTTTGTCTGTGCTTTTGAAGTTCAACTCATTTTTACATGGTCCGTTAATCAGTCAAGCATTGGTAAGAGCTCCTCATTATCATGTACCGCCCCACTTGCATTGTGACCTCTTTCAGCTCCTGACTGACAACTTCCCTCTGTGCTCGCTCCCCCTCAACCCGCCCAACACTGAATAACTGATTTTGATCGCTTGCAGTAATAAAAGTCACATGTCTGGCGGGAACAATGGCCTTTCATTTGGTGGCTGCATTCATTATGACTATAATATGTTAGTATTTAGTGCAAGATTCGTGCTTCATGCTAGGTGAGACAGAGGGAGAGTGAGAAAGAGAGAGAGAGCGACAGTTATTCAGGGGTATTCGTTATGGCCTAAACAAAGAGATCTGGAAGTGCTTGCTTTTCTTTTCATTCCCTCTCCTTTTAGAATAAAGCGACTTCTCACGCACACTCTTCTTCTTTGGAGGTGGTTGCCGCAGGCAAAGGGCTGCAGGAGGTGTGCCAGATTTGTACTGGCAAGCTGTTTGTTTATTTCCTCTTGCCTCAAAGCACTAAAACCTGCTCAGGTGGACTACATAGACATTTATGAATGTTGACCTGTGGATCATGACTTTGTTGAGTCCTTATCAGATGAATATAATTGGACTTTTAAATGGGAGTTGATGCTTCCTTCCTCTTATAATTGTTCAGTGATTCTCAGCCTGGGGGGTACTTGGAAAGATTTCAAATTTGTTAAACCTAGAAATCAGACATTGCAATACAAAATTACTGAATTAAAAATGTAAACTATAATAATAATAATAATAACAAAAGACTGTCAGTCTGTGAATTAGTGGTGGGCATTTTCAGTGATGGGAATCTTTCTGCAGGTTACATTATTAATGAATCATTCACTCAAAAGATTCATTCAAAAATGCTGATTAATTCAGGAACAAATCAAGTAAACGTCTTTATGAGTGAGTCATTGAATAACTGATTAATCTAAAAAACTAATTATTTCAGGAATAAATGACTTAAATGTCTTTATGAGTGAGTCATTGAATTATTCACTCAACCAATTTGTTCAAAAACACAATTTTTCAGGAAAGTCACCGCTGTGTATTGCTTTGAGACACTCAACAGTCAATTCTGCTTTGACTTGACTTTGCAATACAGAACTTAGAAATACACAACTTCTGGGTGCAATTTCTGGTTCACGCATACTTTAAAGGGAGAGGTAAAGGGAGCCTTGACTAGTTTGATTTTAGTTTAAAAGTGAATCATTGTAAAAATGGCCAGTAATGTTTAGTAATATTAATGATAATGACAAAGTCTGGTGTCAATGAAAGGATACTTGTACTTTAATGGGCTGTCGAGTTACCTAATAAGACTAAAACATCAATACAACAGCTTATTTTTCAAAACACTTTACTTGATAGAAAGCGTTTTATATTCCTTTCTCTATTGTCCACCTGTTCTGCAAGTTTTATCTCTTTAAAACACTTGTTTGCGGAAAATCTCACAAGGGTACGCTGCCATG